ATTTAATATTATTAATAAGCTTTTTAATTTATTTTATAAAATATGATGTATCAGAAGTGATGATACAGCCTATATTACTAAAAGCTCTTTAACAAAGAATATTTTATTGAATTTATAGCTATTTTTATAAATTCCAGGTTACTTGATAACCCAAAAAGAGGTATAAACTAATTTGTTAATAACTATTTCACTAACAGCTATTTTATTAACAAAGTTGGCTTTGTTTATATTGAGTTGGGCTAATAAAGAAGACATTTTGTTGGAAAATTTTTTTTTGAAGAATTTCTTTTCAGAAAAACTTTCTTATAGAAAAACATCCTTTCAAGAAAATATATTAAAATATTTTGCACAAGGCATTCATTTATTTTCAAAAATCAGCAAAGAGGGGTACTCTAATAGAATGTATAATATTGGTATCTGTTATGAAAATAGAATTGGGTTGAGAAAGATAAAAACAAAGTAGACAAATATTATTATTATTGGTAAAAAGGCTTTAGAAAAATTTTAACTAGAAAACAGAGTTTAAAAAAGAGGAATTGATTGTGCTGAAAAAAAAAAATTTAGTAAAACTTTCTATTAGCAAATATACTATCAGAAATTTTTTGTCAAAAAAAAAAATATCGAAATAATAAGGTCAGAAAAATAGTATTTCGGGAAGGTATATAGGTTTCAGGAAAGTTAGAATTAACAATTAAGACTTGGTTCTACAATAAGATACAATATATAATATGTTAAAAAAAGATTTGAAATAAAAATAAGCAAAGAGAATGTTACAATATAATATATATATAGCTGGACAAAGCTACTTATATATATAACTTGTATTTATTTTTCTACTTTATATTGTTCACATGCTAATTTTCTTTGTTATATACATGTATATGTCGTGCCTCAGATCAATTCTTGCGTCAGATTAAAACCGGCCTAAGTTAGATTAGGGTTAGGGTAAGAATCTGGGAAGAATTTGGGCTTAATTTAAGTCAATCAATATTGATCAGTTAATGCGGGCCAAAAAGTTGACATCTGACGCAAGCATTAATCTGAGGCACAACATATATATATATTTATTGTTATGTAACTATACTAGTAATTGTTACTTAACATATTTATTATATAAATCATTTTGAAATATATATATATTGAAATGTTTAAAAAACTATTTCTCTGCTATTATAATCAAAATTATAATTTTTGATACTTTTCAACATATTCATGAAGAGTTTGCCATTTATCAATAGTTTCTACTCCACATGGTACAAATTTCTTATCTGTTAGTCTTTTTAATTATTTTACTAAAATTCATTGTGCATTAAATTTTTCCAAAAAACTTTGATAATGATTGCTAGTTTTTTCTCCTTCGTCTACTTTTTTTAGAAATTCTGCTATAGTAGGTAAAGTAAAAGAAATATATGAGTTAGATTAAATAGTATAAGACTGTGTTGAAATATAAGGCAATGTTTAATACGGATTATATAAAGTTGATTAATGCAATTGAAATAGTTGAGCTTCAAAAGCCCAATTGTATTGTGGCATTAATAGTGATGGTAAAAATGATTGTTGTAATAAAAATAGTGATAAAATCAGTTGGGGATGTCCTTGTAATAATGGTTGTAATTGTTGTACTTGTGATGATGGTAGCAATTGTTGTAATAGTTGCATTTGTGGTGATTGTTGTATTTGCAATAGTGGTAGTGATTGTTGTGGTAGTCGTATTTGTGGTAGTTGCATAAGTTGTGCTTGTAGTGATTGTTGTACTTGCAATAGTGGTAGTGATTGTTGTAGTAGTCATATTTGCAGTGGTTGTATAAGTTGTGCTTGTGGTGATTTTTGTACTTGTGATAGTGGTAGTGATTATTGTAGTAGTATACTTGCAATGGTGGTTGTATAAGTTGTGCTTGTAGCGATTGTTATACTTGATATGGCAATTGTTGTGATAGTTGTACTTGTAGTTGTACTTGAGGTAGTGATTGTTGTAGTTGCATAAATTGTGATTGTGGTGATTGTTGTGACAATTGTACATTTGGTGACATAGTTGCACTTGCAGTGATAGCGAAGGTAGTAAAACCAGTAGTATTTGTGATAATAATGTAGATGGTAATTTTGAGCATAGCTTTTTTGATGATAAACTAGCATAGGAAAAAAGAGAATATGTTGGAGAATTTTTAACTGTAACTAGCCCTTTGTTCTAAAAGTATGCTGGTATATAAATAAAGTTTAATCAATTTAATTTATTATATATTATGTAAATATCGATATAGTAATACTATCTCAGATGCCCGGGTTGAAAGTATCATAAATGTAATCTCAATATACAAATTTTTGTGATTTTTTTTATTAAGGCAGAAACAATTATGCACATTATAGTGATATGCATCTCTAATTGTTTACATGTTTTTGGCAATTTTCTTGTTATATATAGATAAAGATGAAACACTTGGAACTTGATTATTATTCTTGTAATTGTTGGATCATTCAGTATTTTCTTCATGTTCACCTAAGTCTGATTCCTGCAAAATTGTATTATAATTTATAATATAATCAATATGTACCAAATTATCAAACAAATTTAGTAAATAGTAGTATTCACATACAGAATAATACAAATAAACATGCATATTTGTATACATATGTATATATGTATACGTATTTAATTTTTTTTTTTTTTTCTTATGAAGTGATAGATGGTTGTAAAATTGTAACATAAATCCCAATATTACTTTTTCTAGCAGCTAATTTTGTATATTCAGATTTGAACTTGATGAAATCTTGTTCGTCAACCAACTGAGTGCTAGCACCTGTCTCTTTTTGTGTTTTGAATATCATGAAATAATAACTTGGCATAATAGTATTATCCTTGGTCATCAAGTGAATTTTATTGTAAACAGATAAAAGAAATTTATCAACTGTTGATATGGATTCTTGAAACCATTTAGCAGGTAATGAAATTCCATCAGCTGTTTTAACAAATAATTTATAAGCTAATACAAACTCAGATTTATTATCTTCTTCACTACTCATTTCATTTTTATTGATTCTATCTTCACTTGCTGCAATGGATATTGAAGGAGAAGGTGACCTAGTTGTTTTCTATAAACAAAAGATTAATAAATTAGATAATTATAATAAAAGATTATATTACATGTACATCGCTATCAATTTTATTTTTTGTTACTTTTTTTTTAGCCTTGGAATTCAATTTCACCAAAACATTGTAGCATTGTCCACAAAGAGAAAACTGAAAAGTTTTTTTCATGTTTATTTGGTAATTATATTCTATAACTTTTCCATGAATATATTCATACATGGGTGCTACCCTGGTAGGTTCAAAGATGTGTGTATACGCTTGTTTCATTAAATCTGTTCGATTTTTTTTTGTGGGCACTAAGGATAATTTACATTTATTTACAAGTAGTATTTCTCAAATCAACTGTGCAATATAGACACTTTCAACACCCAAAACAGGTGCCGCAGTAATATCTAAGTTTGGTGTTGGCTGCATCAGCCATTATAAGTATTGTTTGATCGATTAGGAAAAAGAAAAATTTTTTTTACTGTTTTGGAAATTTTTTTTTTTTTTTTACGTATACTTGCTTTTGATACTATATTAGTCATATAACTGATAAATTAATTTTATTTATTAATTAAAAAATTAGTGCATACATGTGTAATATACAGTGGTGTTTAAAATTTAAATTAGAATTCCAGATTTCCAGATTCTCGTGTGATGTGTGATGCATGAAATTTGATGAACACAGTAATTTGAAAAACGCAGTAAATATCAGGCCTACTGAAAAATCAATTACAATTAATTTTTGATATATGTCATACAATTAAATTCAATTAAAATTATCATAAATTTAATTGAACCCCAATTAATGACGAAATAATTGCAATTAATTGCAATTAAATTCAATTTTCTTTCACTGGTGTAACCTGATCTTTTAAACAGCGAAAAATCAAAAATCATATCGTAATGGTAAATATATGATATTAACCTAATTATGTAAAATTGCAATTAATTGACCAATTGTGACTGCGCTATTAATCAATTAATTGAGCTTGAAAAATTGCAATTAATTGCCCCTACAATCAATTATTCGGTAGGCCTAGTAAATATAACTATATTCTTCATTGCATTTCCTGAAATTATCTGACAATCAGTTTCTTCCTAAGTTTTAACGATGAATATGAATTCGTATTATTTATTACCTGGCTAACAATAAATAAACAATCATTTGGAAATTTATTTGTGGTTACAAGTAAAAGAGACATTGATATTCCCAACATTCAAACAAAATTTTTTATTGGCTTAACTATATTTAATTATTCGATAATCGATCCATTCATGGTTCTTGAATTGGATTCGATCTTTAGATTAACAATCTTTAAACATGGATATACCTAATTAAAAATCAAATTTGTTGAAAAATTTAAGATTATTTTAATGAATTGATAGTTTTGAGTTTGACACTATTTACCGAAATGGGATACATATTTGGGCTTTGGTTATGAACACAAACTAGGTAGAAGTACCGATTCCCAAACTCAAACTAAGTAGAAATGCCATAACTAAAAAAAGAGTTTGGGTCGCATCACTAAATGAGATGCGTCAGGATTGGGAAGATAGGTTTGCCACATTATTGGTGCAGATCAGGGATTCAAAATTTTTTTTCAAAGTTTAATATTGATTATTAATACTGTATATAACGATAATTTGTTAAATGAAATTTAATTTGGGGAACTAAATGCTTGGATTTGGTGACCAATTGTCTGCTTAATTTCGCAAGTGCGTCGTAGTGTATATCTTAAATTACATGACACGAATTAGAGGTTGGAACCGGTTTTAAATATTCGAGTTTATCACATCAAAATTCGAGTTTATCACTCCAAAATTCGAGTT